TCAAACTTTGGCTAAAGTATACTTCAAACGAAAAACCAACCAGTCTATGACGGCAAATTTAAATTATGGGAATGGCGCTTCTGCGTATGAATTGTGGGAAGGTGTGGGAGTGACCGATGCCTACTCTTACCAGCTGCTGATCTGTGATGACTCATTCTACAGTGGCTTCTTCGTTTCTGGTTACACAAGCTGTTACAAGCAGTGTGGTCACTGGTGTGGCGATACTGTCTCCCCCTACTTCCGTACTGCATCAACCAGTTCGAGTTACTTAGGTGTGGCCTTTAACACCAATGGCCACCATTCAGTCGATAAAAGGCTCATTAGTGTCGGTCTGCGCTGAGACGTTTAGGTATTTTTTCAAAATGATTGCATTTTGAACAGTTAACCTAGAATCGCTTAGGTATCGCTGTATTAGACTGTGTGATTGATCTGAAAACTCGCGCCACTTTCCCAGCCAATCAGATTCAAAACTAAGGCCAGTCGCGACTAGATCTCATGCGTGTTCCCCCTTCATGTCGTTTGCTTTGTAATTTGAGTCCTTGTGATATTTTCTTCTTTCTTCTTTATTATTTTTTTTTAACGACACTAAATCGTAGGGCGCTCGAACAAATGTCTGACATACCATAACCTAGGCTTATACAGTACATGCAAGCCAAGAAGCCCTCTTCGCCTCGGTTATCTGTGGAAATTGTATCACTATTATACATTTACAACAACGACCAAAACAATACATGTTATAACGGGCTCAATTTGTGTGATTGTGACAGGAAATAACGGTGTAGCGAAAGCTATGGAAATTAAATCAAGTTGTAACAATTCAAGGATGAAGAGGAATGAAATGAATTAATAAAATCATTAATTATTCGCTTCGAACATCATGAAAAGGCTAGAAAGAAAAATTTATGATTGTTTTGTTGTTGTGGATATCATGTTAGCGAGCACGTGCTGTCAAGAACGTACACAAATTTACGTTTGTTTGCTTTTCTATGAAAGTTGATTAGTGTTCTAAAAGCAGTATTCGTTTTTAATTCTTAGGAATAAAGGATTGGATTCTACCCAATCTTTGCTACACCATTTGACGGAGGCCGCATAAGAAACGGTGCTCTTTTCAGAGTCACCTGATCTAAAAAGTTCAATGACCAACAATTAGTGTCCTTTTCTTGTCTTTTTAACGGTAAGTTCTGCTAAAGTTGTGATCTTAAGATTTAGTTGCGCAAAAATACTTGGCTATAAGACGCACCCCAATTTTAGCACTAACATTCCACCCGAAGACAGAATTTTCTTGAAAAAGACGGGCGCCTTATAACCAAGAAACTACGGTAAGTGCCGCTTTAAGCTATAGAATACATTTTTCCGGGCTTTATAGATAGATAGATACTTTATTAGGCACAGAATCCATAAAGCTAAGTCACTTATTTACAATGAAGCTGTGCATCTAAAATATCAAAAACATACACACACAACTATAAAAATATGTATATATATATATATATATTATATAGATATATATGTATATAGAGGGATTAAACTTGGTGTCCGTGAAACAGTGCTCGATACAAGTAGTAGAGCGGGTATGATGTGTGGTAGTTGGAAGAAAACAACTACATATACATCCCTACAGACCTGTTTCGTGGTTGCCCCCTCATCAGGGGATTTTAATGGCAGAACAATGCGATACCATTA